AGATTAAATCTCAACCAATTATCTTAGATCGCTTTGAAATGAAACTAGTAGGCCTGGTAGACTTGTGACTGCTCGATCGAGTGATCTGACCTGACTACATATTTCATCTAGAATCAATGGGTCGGATGAAAAGTGGATCGGAGATTGAAGACGACTTTAAATCCTCGGGGGCGGAGCATATCTCGTCCCGTGCTATTAACTGGTATGTTGGATTCTTTGGCAATGTTCTATATCCTTCAGTAGTGTTCATTCATGGAGAAACATTTGTCCAGTTAAGTGGAATCCTTTGCACTTATGAACATATTACCTAGCAATCCCATGCATGTTGGTTATGAGCTGATGCTGATAAAATCGTGCATGTGAACGTCACAGGAGCAATGAAGAAGATTGCCGGTGCATCACTGCCTGCCTTGTCAAAGCCACTTGGGTGATTGAGAACGACAAAGAGAGGGAGAAGAGGAACCGGCCGGGGAAAGCGAAGCCGTGGTATGAGAATATCGGTTTCAAATGGATTGAAGAGTTCCCAACTGGTTCCATCGTTGACAAAAAATATGCCTATGGCACCGTCTTCGAGCTGATGACGAAGCCTAAACCTCCGGATGCCCCAAAGTACGTGGTTGCCTTCCGAGGTACCATGTTGAACCATCCCAATGCGTATCTAGATCTGATGCATGACTTGAAGGTGCTGTTCAACACGCTGACCACCTGCACGCGATTCAAGGGGGCGCATTTGGCGGTCCAGAGCCTTCTCGAAATCGTCGGTAACGACTCCGTCGTCTGGCTCGCGGGACACTCCCTCGGCGCGTCGCTGGCACTGGAAATAGGCCGATACATGAAGCTGCACAAGAACCGAAGCGTCCCGATCTTCCTCTTCAACCCGCCGCACGTGTCGCCGGGGCCGGCGATCAACAGCCTTCTCAAGGGGAAGCACAAGACTCGGTTCTACACCGGTAGCTACGCGGTGAAGTACGCGCTCGCCAACATTATGCCATGGAACCGCAAGCGCAGCAAGAAGGTGTTCGAGACGCTGGCCCCGTGGTGTCCGGATATGTAAATCAATCCGGATGACTTGTTTTGCCGGGGACACATCGATTACTTTGAGCAGCGGGAGCTGGTTGCCAAGAAGCACCCTCGCTTTGCCAGTACAGCGATGAGGACGTCGTACCGTGATATCTTCTTTTCCAGCGAGTTGCAGCCCCATCTGCTGCCGACGGCGAGGCTGTGGATCAACTCCAGGCGGAAGCACGACCCGCACGCGCTCAAGCACTGGTGGATGCAGGAACTCAAGCTCCAGAGAAAATTCTACCATGTTCCAGAGAAAACTGAACAAGACAAAAAAATCCACTGAAATGCTACAATGCTTCCAAACAGGGTCAACGACCAGTGTTGTTCTTTCTTTTACCGATGCACATCTATCAAATCATTGTATCCAGTTTTATTTCCATTACAAACTTACTTCCTTCGTTCCAAAGTACTCCCTCCCGTTCCTTTATATAAGATGTATTTGTTTTTTTGATAAATAAAATTTCACAATGTATGGTGCATTTTTTTAATTCCTTGTAATTCCATTTTTAGCCCTTCAGAAAAAAGAAAAGTACCCCTCCCATGATTGCATGTATTTCTTCTTATAGAGGAAAAAAAAAGTAAAGTATCTATCTCCCGATTGCGTGCATCTCTTTCTATCATACCCTAACTGATTTACTTGCCGGTAATCAGCTAAGGTTAATTTCGTTCGAAATTATCTATAATTATGTGTCTTAATCACCGTGCTCTTCTTAGGGGAGAGAACAAACTCGTCATTTTGCCCATGGGGTAGAGCTGCTGAACTAATGAGAGAAGAGGACATCAAGAGACAGCAAGAACCAGGGGAGGAAGATTACTAAGGGAGGAGCTGTAGGATGGAGATGGGCTGGGAACAAAATGCAGACTATTCGTGTTGGTTGCCTTTAGACATCTTCCCTAAATAAATGAGAGAATAAGTCCTCTCGTCAGATTTGTGGGCCATGGTCACTAATTGACTCTCACGAATACATTTTCCACATAGGAATACTTCAACCTGAGAAATGAATATACGCGACGAGTAGTATGAATACATCACGGATCATGGCATAATCAATGATGAGATATAGACCTCGCGTGCCACCATGTCCACTTATGATTTATCGTGACTGGCCCCTTAGTCTCCCCAAGGTGGGTGCAGCCACTACTTTCTCGAAGCTAAAACAAAGTAAGAAAATTCATCAGTTCACGTGTGCAGGCGCTTGGTTTGACTAAGGATGCACCTCCCCATTGTGTGAAAACAAATGGTGATAAATAAGCCATCCGCACCTCTCCTTGTGGCCCTCTCTCTAACAGAACTTCTTTTGAGCCTTCTCTTTGCCGTCTCTTCTTGCGACCGCTGGGGAGGGAGCCGTTGCATCAATTATCCACTGGTAAGTTGTGGAATTGTTGCATCGATCTTTAATTTGTTTGATCTGTTGATTGTTGCTCAATTTTACTTGCATGGTTTGCGAATTTCTGCTGCAACTAATAAGGAGGCTGTAGGCGCGTGGGAGCTTAATAAGAGGGCCTAATTTTTAATTATCACACATATTGCACTCATATGCCAAGATTCAGATGGTATTGTGGTATCACTAGTAGAAAAAGGACCTAATGTGAGACACATTAGACCCGGTTCGATTTTGGCCCGGTACTAATGGTACCATTAGTGCCGGTTCGAACGGCTATGCATTAATGCCGGTTCGTGTTGAACTTTTAGTATGGGTTCGTGCCACGAACTGGTGCTAAAGGATGGTGGCAGGCTGGCGTCAGGCCGGGGCCTCACGATCACCTTTAATACCGGTTCGTGGCACAAATCGGTACTAAAGGGCTAACCTTTAGTACCGGTCCGTACCATGAACCGGGACTAAAGGGGTCTGACCTATAGTCCCGGTTGGAGACACAAACCGAGATTATAGGGCAATTTTCAAACTCTACCCCCCAGTGTATCGCCATTTCAGTTTTGAAAAAATCAAAAGAAAATGATAAAAACTTCAGAAAATAAAATCCTTCGAGAGGTAGTTATATTACTACATCTACTAGTTAGGAAAATTTGAAAACTTAAATTTGGACATGTTTTGCAAAAAGTGTAGGGAAAATGTAAAACGGCTATAACTTTTGCATACGATGTCGGAAAAAAAACGTATAATATATCAAAAAATTCAGCACGAAAATCCGCATCCGATTTTGACAGACTATGGCCTGTTTGCAATTTTTTAGAATCCTCAAATTCCAAAAGGAAAAAAATATATGCTCAAATTTCAGTTTTTTTAATTTTGGTCAAACTATGGTCAAACTACTTATTCAAGAAGTATTAATGTTACTACATAATTATTCAAGAATATTAGTGTTACTAAATAATTATTTTGTTTTTTTGAATTTTGGTCAAATCTGGTCAAACTATGGTCAAACTGTGGTCAAACTATGGTCAAACTTATTCAAGAAATATTAGTGTTTCTAAATAATTAATGTTTTTTTAGAATAATAGTTTCAAACTCAAACGGTGAAACATGTGACCTAATGCTAAAGCTAAACTGCTGAGGGTTAATAGGATTGACAGCTTACATTTATTAGGAAAACAACAAGTGCAGACTTGGAAAGTAGGGGGAATAGAACTTTAAAGTTAAGCGTGCTCAGGCTGGGGGAGTGAGAGGATGGGTGACCGGCCGGGATGTTAGACAATTTGGAATGAGTGATCCACACTTGAGCAGTTAAGAAGGGTGATTAGAGACTAAATCATCAAATAATTCAATTTAGAAAATTGAAAATAAAAAAATCAATTTTTTTTCCAAAATTTTCAAAAAAATAAATAAATAAAATACCTTTAGTACCGGTTGGTAACACCAACCGATACTAAAGGTCCCCCATACCACGGCGCGAGCTCACGCCACGTGGTGGGCCTTTAGTGGCGGTTCGTGCCGAACCGGTACTAGGGGGGGGGGGGTCTTTAGTCTCCACCCTAAAGGCCCTTACGAACCAGTTTTAGAGCTCTGTTTTCTACTAGTGTATTACCATTTGAACGAGGAATCAAAGCTACTTTGTTGATTTGCATTCTCAATTTGTGTGCTATGATATACTCCTCATAGAAACACGACTATACTCCTCATGTTTAATCATATCTAAGATTTTTCCTAGGGCACTCTTTAGGAGTGTACCACTAGCTAACAACTACTCTTTCCTTTACTTTCATATATATGTCGCCTTCTCTTTTCTTGAAGCAACTCAAATAAGAGAACAATGTAACATGAATTATAGTAGATAGAGAGGCAAAGTAATCTTGGTTAACAAAAAGGAAGCCAAGGGTACATACTCCATCTATTACAACAAAATAAGATGTATAAATTAGTCAAAAGACAAAATCATCTAATTTTGAACAAATTTATATGGACATAAACTTACAAACATGCACACACCAAATCAATATTAATAGATCCACAACGCAAAATGTATTTTTAGAGTATATTTATTCAGTATTGTAGTTGTTCATGTTTACTTCCAACACATTTGATCAAATTTGGTAAGGTTCGATTAATGACTGAACATGCATATGCCTTTTTTTAATGGGGTTAGCAGATACAACCACACATTCCCAGTTAACCGACTGTTTTTCTTGTTGTGAAGTATCTGACACGTAGAACATACCAAATCTTTACTTCTTTCTACACTAATTCTTCAGCGTATTTGTAATTTTTATTGTTAGATTAAACCTTAAGCGTTTATATCATCATAATATATATTCGGCATGCAACTTATTTGTTAGATTAAATCTCAACCAATTATCTTAGATCGCTTTGAAATGAAACTAGTAGGCCTGGTAGACTTGTGACTGCTCGATCGAGTGATCTGACCTGACTACATATTTCATCTAGAATCAATGGGTCGGATGAAAAGTGTATCGGAGATCGAAGACGACTTTAAATCCTCGGGGGCGGAGCATATCTCGTCCCGTGCTATTAACTGGTATGTTGGATTCTCAGGCCATGTTCATTCATGGAGAAACATTTGTCCAGTTAAGTAGAATCCTTTGCACTTATGAACATATATTATCTAGCAATCCCATGCATGTTGGTTAGGAGCCGATGCTGATAAAATCATGCATGTGAACATCACAGGAGCAACGAAGAAGACCGCCGGTGCATCACTGCCTGCCTTGTGAAGGCCACTTGGGTGATTGAGAACGACAAAGAGAGGAAGAAGAGGAAAATGCCGGAGATGGCGATGCCGTGGTATAAGAGTATCGGTTTCGAATTTAAGGAAGAGTTCCCAACTGGTTCCATCATTGACGGAAAATACGCCTATGGCACCGTCTTCGAGCTGATGGCGAAGCCTAAACCTCCGGATGCCCCACACTACGTGGTTGCCTTCCGAGGCACCATGATGAACCATCCCAATGTGTATCTAGATCTGATCCATGACTTGAAGGTGCTGTTCAACACGCTGACCACCTGCGCGCGATTCAAGGGGGCGCATTCGTCGATCGAGAGCCTTCTAGATATTGTCCGTGACGACTCCGTCTGGCTCGCGGGACACTCCCTCGGCGCGTCGCTGGCACTGGAAATAGGCCGAAACATGATGCTGCACAAGAACCGAAGCGTCCCGACCTTCCTCTTCAACCCGCCGAACGTGTCGCTGGGGCCGGCGATCAACAGCCTTCTCAAGGGGAAGCACAAGACTCGGTTCTACACCGGTAGCTACGCGGTGAAGTACGCGCTCGCCAACATTATGCCATGGAACCGCAAGCGCAGCAAGAAGGTGTTCGAGACGCTGGCTCCGTGGTGGCCGGATATGTACATCCATCCGGATGACTGGATCTGCCGGGGACACATCGATTACTTTGAGCAGCGGGAGCTGGTTGCCGAGAAGCACCCTCGCTTTGCCAGTACAGCGATGAGGACGTCGTACCGTGACATCTTCTTTTCCAGCGAGTTGCAGCCCCATCTGCTGCCGACGGCGAGGCTGTGGATCAACTCCACGCAGAAGCAGGACCCACATGGGCTCAAGCACTGGTGGATGCAGGAACTCAAGCTCCAGAGAAAATTCTACCATGTTCCAGAGAAAACTGAACAAGACAAAAAAATCCACTAAAATGCTACAATGCTTCCAAACAGGGTCAACGACCACTGTTTTTTTTTACTGATGCACATCTATCAAATCATTGTATCCAGTTTTATTTCCAGTACAAACTTACTTCCTTCGTTCCAAAGTACTCCCTCCGTTCCATTATATAAGATGTATTTATTTTTTGACAAATAAAATTTCACAATATATGAAGCATTTTTTTAATTCCTTGTAATTCCATTTTTAGCCCTTCAGAAAAAAGAAAAGTACCCCTCCCGTGATTGCATGTATTTCTTCTTATAGAGGAAAAAAAAGGAAAATATCAATCCCCCATTGCGTGCATCTCTTTCTATCTTAGCCTAAATGATTTACTTGCGGTAATCAGCCAAGGTTAATTTCGTTCAAAATTATCTATAATTATGTTTCTTAATCACCATACCGAAAATAATACACCTTACATAGTAAAGAAATGGAAGGAGTAATACTAAAAGCTCACCAGTGGACAGTGGTATCCCAGCCCATCAGGTTCAAATCCTGGTGCTCACATTTATCCTGGATTTATTTCAGAATGTCTGGCGACGCGCGTTCAGTGAGAGAAAACGTTTCCGTCGACTACAAGATGCCTACGGTGACTTCATAAAATCTCAAGATGATATGCCTGCTTAGTCTATCGGAGGTGATCATATAGGGGTAGGGTGTGTATGTGTGCGTTCATAGAGATAAGTGTGTGAGCGTATATATTAGCGCTTGCGTCTATACTGTTTAAAAAAAAATACTACAAGCTATAGGTTTGTGTCAAGTCGATCTTATCTAAGTTTGAGCAGAGTTGCTAAAATCTGTAACAGAAAATACTCGCTTTCCTAGAATTAGTCGATTGTACCAAAAATGCTACACTACGAAGCCATCTACGTAAACCTACAAAAAATTCCTTCCCACGGTTAAGAAACAATTGCTAGAGCGAACCATTCACTTGATTCTCTGATTATTACAACTTATATATCTCCCGAAGAGACATCTCCAGCAGACACAATGCTTCGAAGAGCCGGGAGAGAAGAGACACGTCGGTTAGATTGCTAACTGAATCTCTAATACAACATGGAGATTATCCACATAATTAATTACAATAATTAATTTCTAACACCCCTTCTAATATCCTCTTTGTCTATGTAGTATCATCATCTTGAAAAACACTACTCCAAAAACCCTACTGAGGAAGTGAAATTCTCTCCCAATTTTAGGCTCCAGACCCTTGCGTCGCCCCCGCTCGGGCGACACGGATCGTACTCCAACCCTAGCCGCCGCCGGAGCCGATCCCCCTCCCTCCCTTCCTCCCGCCATCGCCAGAGGACGCCGTCGGCCTGCGCCCGGTGGCCGACGGCGGTAGCAGGGGTTCTCCTCGCTCCCGTGTCTCAGGGGCGGTGCGGGCCCCCTATGCGTGTGGAGGCGCGACCGATCTAGTGAAGCGGCGACGACGACGGCGCTGATGGCTGCGGCGACGGCGGTGGAGGCCACTCCTGCCTCGCGGCAGGCGGTTTATGCTGTGGCGGCGCGTCATTCGGCTTTGGATCGACGGAGGCGTCGATGGCCTGGTGGACTGCTTGGCGGTACCTCCGGTCAGATCTAAACTGGCCGGTGCAGCCGGCGGTGGTGGTCATCTTCTCTGTCGAAGGTGGCCGGCCAGAGGTTGGGTGGTCGGATCTCGAGATCCGTCATCTAGTCCCGGCTGCGAGTTGGAGAGACATAGTTGCCGGTGAAAACCGAGCCGACGACAGGCGATGGCTGTCGGTGTCAAAACCGGCCGATCTCGGGTAGGGGGTCACGAACTGTGCGTCTGAAGATCGAAGGTAACATGAGACAAAGGGGACACAATGTTTACCCATATTCGGGCCCCCTTAATGGAGGTAATACCCTACTTCCTGCTTGATTGACTTTGATGAGTATAGAGGTTACAAGAGTTGATCTACCTCGAGATCCCAATGGCTAAACACTAGATGTCTAGCCTATATGAATTCTGATAGCCTCTACGGATTAAAACCCTCCGGTTTATATAGACACCGGAGGGGCCTAGGGTTGTACAGAGTCGGTTTACAGAGGAAGGAAACTACACATCCGGACGCCAAACTTGTCATCCACGCAAAGGAGAGTCCTATCTGGACACAAAGGAAGGCCTTCTTTCTTGTATCTTGACGGCCCATCAGTCCAGCCCATATCACACAACCCGGCCACCTGAGGACCCCATAATCCAGGATTCCCTCAGTAGGCCCCGAACTTGCCTTCAATGACGATGTAGTATTTGGCTTATGTCTTCGGCTTTACAGGGCGGGTTCTTTATTATACTTCGGACCAACGACAGTCCGGCAATGACCTCGACGTTTCTGTCTTTTATGACTCCCCCTGTCGACGCTTCGATTTCCGCACGCCAGGCGAATATGAACGATCCATGCTTTTTTGCAAATAAGCCCCTCACCACGCTCGGGCGACATCTATATAAGGAGATGTAGATCCCCAAATGCCATCTCACATCGTGCAAAAGGAAAACCGTCAAGATTAGCCACGAATGAAGCTTTCCAGCATGGCCAGTGCCCCATGCTCCTCTTCTCGCCCCCATGGCCCTCAAGAGGGCGATTGGCAGAGTTGTTCTGTTCCTCATCTTCAGCTGAGTCGACTCCAGACACAGTGCTATCTTCCCCTCGCAGATCTAGTCTCCGTTCGAGCGGGCTTGGCCTCAATCGGCAACGATGTGATGGCTGAGAATTTCCCCAATCCCAGTAAGGAGGAGAGAGTGTGCTTCGTCCCATTCCTGCTGTGGGGCCTAGGATTTCCAACCCATCCCTTTCTTAGGGGCCTATTGGAAATTTACGGAATCCAACTACACAACCTTACCCCAAGTTCGATTCTGCACATCTGAGGTTTCGTTGCCCTTTGTGAACTGTTCCTCAGCATTTAGGCCCATTTTGAATTTTGGAAGAAGTTCTTTTGCCTTGTTCCCCGCCATCGAGGAGGCTCCATCTTTGAATGGGCGATGCCGAAGTATGGCGCATAGCCGGATCCGGATACCTAATTGGAACTCCCAAAGAGGTATATCCACAGTGGTCTTCAGAATGGTTCTATATGGACGACGTCCCACTGCCGGATCCAGTTCGGCGTGGCCTTCCTGAATTTTCCAGTGCTCCTTTAAAGAAGTGCCTCAACTGGCATCCCCGAAGTCCCAAGGAAGAAGACGGTGTGGAGATAAAGAGGTTGATCAGCAAGGTCAGGTTGCTAGCCCATACCGAGCTCTCGATAGTCGAGGTCATGGCTATTGCAATAAAGAGGTGTGTCCAGCCTCTTCAATCCAGAGTAACTCCTCTATGGTGTTACAATAGAGAAGATGTCGCGTCCCGTTATAAACGGAAGGGTCTGGACACCCCAACTGAAATGGCCACAATCTTGACCGATCAGTATAAGGGTGAGAAAGAAGAGTTCCTCCGCTTAAACAGCCGGGAAGGCTACTCCATGTACAACCCCATTGAATGGGTAAGATTTCGATCGTATGTGTCATTTTATTGCTGTTTACAGATACTAATAAAATTTGCTCTTTGCTGCCATAAATAGTAATGGAGGAAGATGACTAAGGACGTCCACTCTCCCACTCCATAGCCAGAGGATCACAACCGCGATCGAGACCCTGGCTCTCGCGAGGATCCGGATATATACATAGAGTTCGATGATGGGGTGTTTTATCAGGCGAGCCCTGACAGCTCCGAATTGGCTATCACCGCTGACTACCCCCGCCTTTATCCTTTATTCGGAGGTCTCTTAAAAGGAAATCCCTATCTGCACTTATACCCATTATACTGATCCAAATTTTAATAGGATCGGTGCTCGGCGGCCCGTACCTCCACCAGGGCAACCCCTACACCGGGCAATCGTTCAAAACTAAAAGGGACCGGGAGTGCTGCAGAAACTTCACAGCCGTCCAAGAGATATGTCCGCTTTAATACATGCCCGGGTACGAGTCCGGATTGTTCAAAGTATCCTTTCTTCTTGATGTCAGGAGAAACATGCGACAGACAGTGGGAAAGCGCCCTGCTAGCCGAATGTCAGCCAATCCGGTGCCGAACTCGTCAACTGGGACGGAACCGATGCAATGCCAGTTCCACCGCCTCATGAGGATTCGGATGACATATCTGTCACGAACTCCGAAGTAGAGAGCGTGATGAATCATCGATCGTCGATTGAAAGAGAGCATGCGCGCTCCGGCCTTTTCTGAGCAAGAATTTTCCGCACTGAGTTTGGTGGATGCATACATCCGAGCGGCTCGAGACGGACTTGCCAGAGTCACTCAGTTGTTCTCAAAGGACATACAGGTAAAAGTTCATGCAATTTATATGGTCATATGCCAGTAGCCCCCGAGACTTGAAGCGGTGAAGCAAACAGGATCAATAATATTTGCAGGTTCTGAAAGAAAAGAACACTATGCTAGCCCAGGAGCTGAAAACAAACCAGACGCAACTGAATGCGGTCACCGCCGAACTAGCGGGAATGAAAAAGATCGTGACGGGCGCATCTAGGGAGAAAAATCTTGAGGAGGAAAAGGACAAACAATCCGAAGAGATAGAGACATTGGTGCGCGTCGGTCCTAAACAAACGGTTTTAACCCCTTTCCGCGACGGCATTTGGAACTGTCACCAAGTGAGTGTGGGCGATAGGGGGTCCTTCCCACACGACCCAGAAACCGTCGGGGATAGGGCCCCTATAGTACTCATACTCGTTTCTGTTCGCATTGCCATCGCAGTCGGTATTCTGTGGTGCTACATTTATGATGCGTGCCCCATCACAAACGGTTCATTATTATAGAACGTGTATGATGCGCGGCCCATCACAAACGGTTCACTGTTAAGAAGATTAGCTAATCATCATACGAGTGTCGGACAGGATTACGAAACGTCGGACCGTCGTAACATCGTCATACACGACAACTATCACACACGCTATTCTGTGGTGCAACGTTTATGATGCATACTTCATCAAAAACAGTTCATGGT